CGGCTGAGACTGACCTGCGAGGGTTCCCTCAGCACAAGGCCAAGCTCCCACAGAGCTGGAGGGCCCCCATGCTGGGGAACCCAGGGGATTCTCCCATGGGACACTGTCTTACCCTGATTGGGTCAGAGCCCCATAAAGACAAGCCCCAGCCCCCATATCTTCTGTTGGCCTGTCTGGGTAGAGGGAGGGAGCTGTGGGGTGGCTGCTGGAACAAGAGGACAAAGGGGTCAGGGAGAGACTGTCAGACACTAGGGTGGCATTTCCGGCTATGACAGAAAGTCACAGACCCCTCTGGAATTTCTGCTTTGTGTGTTATCCATGGAGTCTGTGACAGAGGGAAGCAGAGATTGCGCCAAAGAGGGACACCAATTCTGCAGACACAAGGTAACGGCTTAGATTAGGGCTTAGTGAGCCCAGGAAAGGGCTTTAGCGAATTCACCTGACCCAGGAGACAAAGGGCCACACGGCACAGGAGCCGGGAGGCCATAGCAGAGTCGAGTCAGAATGTGGGGGTTGGAGAGGGAGTTTCTCCAGTTTGTGTTGAGGAAATAAGAGTTGGCTCTCAGTGGAGTCAATCAGTGGTGTCACTACCCCTGCCAGCCAGTGTCTCCTTCATCTACCTCAGCCCCTCCCTCTACCCTCTACTCCCCTTCAGCTCACAAACATAATCCTTCACTCAGATGGTCTCTGCCCCTGCTGCCTTTCGTCTAGGGGGCAATAGCTCTGCAAGGTTCCATCATGCTTGCCCTCCACCCATCTCTCCACCGCCATCTTGCACAAGTCTCCCTCTGCTTTGTCTGCCCCAGCCTCACTCACTGACGTCCAGTTACTTCCTCATACGTGCCATGTTCTTCTCTGCCTCAGGGGTCTTTTTTACAGGCTATGTCTTCTGCACGGAACGTAGGTCTCTCCCTCGCATTCCTAGATCTCTGCTTCTTTCCTTATGTGAAAATATATTTCAGGCACGCTTATTTTTACCTATGAAAAGTAAAAGTTACATTCTACTAGGATAAATTAAGGAAAATATTTTCAGGCATTTATATGAGGTAGAATTTGTTCAGTCAAGAGACAGAGAAAAACTGCATTAAACTAAACTCTTGTACATCAAAACACACTATAAAAATATGAAAACATAAGCTACAGAGACTAGGAAAAGACACGAGGACTGCATACAAATGATAACGAATCAGTGTGAACTCATTCAAAGTAGCCATGGAAGAGGCTGCAGGCATGACCATTACGATGTGTGAGCTTTCCACTGCTGCCTACTGGGATGCACGAAAATGCAGCTGGGCCTCCATTCTTACTGGCTCGGATAAGGAGGTTAATGATGGGGCAGCTGGGCACGTGGAAGGAGTACAGACTTTATAACACAGACAGATTCACTTCCCAATTCTGCTTCTTCTAAACCACGAGACCTTGGGAAAATGACTTCATGTCTCTGAGCTTTTTTCTCTACCAAGTGGGTATCAGAATATTTGACTTGCATGCATGGTTGGTGCAAAGCTTTAAAACATAATATATGCAAAACCTAGCATGCATTAGGGGCTCAGTTCAGTCATAGCTTCATAACTCTNATTCCTGTGATAGAAACCTTCATTAGGATTCTGGTTTTGTGTATCTACATATTTCTGTACTTCTGAATCTTAGGGGAAATCCTGATGGCTTTCTGGTGCCTTGTATGACTCATGGGTCCCAAACAGCCCTTCAAGGATCCTTTTCTACTTTGCTCAGTGGTCGCCACTGTATGAACATCCCCCCATCCACAATGATCCCCTGCTCTCTGGTTGCCACACCTCAGGGGCAGCAGGCTCGTCACCACATGAGGGGTCATTCTGCTCTGCTTCTTGTCAATTCACGAACAGGTGGGACACCTGCCCAACGTAGCCAGAGCACCTTTGTATGCCCCCGGTCACTGGCTTCCCGTGCTTGGAGTAAGACAGCAGCAAGCAGCTTGCCTCACGCCGGTGCCTGACCTTTCTCTGTGGCAAGAGGACTACTGCTCAGCGCTGCAGGAGGCCTGCTGGCACTGAGGATGACAGAGGGACTTGAGAAGGGGCTGAGTCCAGGGTGAGTGAAAAATGTTCTTTTTTTGGAGACATCTATTCCATGGGGGAATGTCTCCTTGGGAAGAATCACTGACATTAATTGAATAATCAACAGAATGGTGCTTGGGAAACCTGTATCTAATCTGCACACAATCCCACGCTTAGAGACCCCATACTTGCTTCAGTGCTCTGCTGTCATGATGCTCACATTCTTAATGTTGGGACCATAGACCCTGCAAATTATGTAGCCGGTCTCAAGAATATGATTTCCTGTTTCACATCTGTGGTCCCCTCCCGATGGACTGGTTCCCCTTTAGCACAGCCTTGTGTCTCGGGGATGGGTGACTTGGCATCGCTGGGCCTGGGAGAGAAGGATACAGAATCTAAAGTCAGAACCAGAGGAGGAGCCTGATGTGGGAACCACAGTAACACACCTTGAGCTGGGACCTGACCAGCCCACAAGTGGGTTCCACGTCTGTGCCCAGGACTTCTCTGGTCCAGGAGACCAGAGGACACACAGCACAGGACACCGGTGCCCAGGCAAGGCCACAACAGAAGGGGGATTTTCCACCTAAAGACTGTGTTTTGTGGGTTGGACACTTGGGGTCAAGGTGAAGGGAACTCTTTTCCGGATG